AATATATATTATATTATAATATTATAATATATATTATTTTATTCATTTGTTTTTTTCACCCCCTATAGACTCAATGCATAAAACTTCGTTGATTAATAATTAACCCCACGCAAGCAAACTGATGAGAGCCCGAAGCAGTGTAGTTTGAGAAGTAGGTGTATGCATTTTAAATAGTCCCAGAAGTTATATATATTTTTTACTTAATTGCATATAGCAAAAAAATAGGAAAACTAGAAACTTGCCCATATGGCGAGCAAACATTGCCTCGATGTTAGCAGAAAAGACGAACATTCGTGCGAGGACCACTGATTCATTGACAACCCTGCCTATCACTTGACTCTTACCTGCATATGGGCGCTCGCCTCAGTTTTCAGATAGATGTTGGGGAGCTGTAAAGACCTTTCTTAGATCTAACGTAAAAACGGAACTCTGTAAACCCAACGTTAGGGACATCTATATATGTGCCGGCCCAAGGCATGGTTACCTAGTTAGAGTTAGCCTACATGTCTAGTTAGAGTTAGGCCTATGCCTATAGCCTAGGCGTACCTGTCTTATCTGCGTTTTCCAAAATGCCTCACAGGGAGAACAAGTTAGGAGAATGATGGCCTTTGCAGCGTTCTTGGTATGTGATCTGGTGGCCGCCTCATGGAGAGCTTGTAGAGGACTGTCCATCCCATTTTTCACCTCATTTTCAACATGGAAAGCATCAAATTCTGATTCACTATTGGAGTCAACCCATTTTGGCCTTCCCCAGACATTCCAGTCATATCCCAGGACTTCAGTCTTCACACTCCTGCGTCATGAAAGTAGCCAGAGATAAACTGATGTCCTGTGAAGATCTTATCTCCTTTGGCTACCAGAGGTGAATTGCATTTAAGACAGTGCTTCTCAACCACGCATGACCCCAAAAATCACTTTTGTACTATTCACGACTCCATGCACTGAGCGAAGTTAGACAGGCGATTTTAGCGCATAGGTAGGGGACTACCTATGCGCTAAAATCGCAAAGAAAAACGTAACTTTGCATTTAGTTGCTGGTTTGTGACCCCAAATATTATCTTTGTGACCCCGAATGGGGTCGTGACCCCTGGGTTGGGATTTGCCCTGATTTAAGACCATCAGTTGGAAACCCTTCTGATCAAACATTTGCTAATTTTTCAGTTACCTTTCTTTAAAAGCAGAGTGACCAGTTATATAAGATATATTTTAACTGGCAAAATTTCAGGTAATCAGCATACAAGTTTTTATTATTATCTAAAACAACAATTTGTGCAAACATTGGCACATGGCACTTGATCTTACCGCTTTCAATTATGTCTAGACTGGCTGTCATTTTCTGGTTAAATGTCATATGGAGTCATTGACATTGAGTCATTTGCACCATTTCATTATGGCTGTTGAAAAAATTCTAGGACTCTTACCCCTTCTTTAATGTGGCAACTATCAAAGGCAGCATATATGCAGTCTCATGATCACATGATAAAGGTGACAGTAAATAAACTTTGATAGGATACAGTTGCAGAGTTTTTTGCTTGTGGGCCTGGATTCCCTGAGGTGCATAGTTCTCAACTCAGAACTTTCATATATTTTCTCATATGTCTTGCAGCACAAACTTTTCTGGATTATAGCAGTGCAGAAGAATAAGCATGTAACAGGCTTAGCTTATTGCTTGTACAGTCATACAGCAAGGACTGAGTTGTTTGGTGTCATCCTCCATTGAAAAACTGATTAGGCCTAGACAAATTATTCTGAAGTGAAAGTCAAAGCTTTGGCCTGAGCTGACACATTCATTTAACAAGTGCACGTCTCCTTCTGTGAGGATCTTTTCAATGAGTCTACCTGCCAATTTTGTATCACCTCACTTAGCTGTTTGGTTGTTGATTAGAGCAATTAAATAGCTGAAACTCTTCGAGTTGAATATATTATTTTGCTTTTATCTCTGTGAAGGTGGCAGTATTACATGGAAGTTTTCTTTTACATTTCTTCATTCAAGTGAATCATACCATTGACTTCATACAAGTTCTTCATACTTATCTATTCAGTCTCAACTTTTTAAGTAAGCCACCAGAAAAGGCAATATATGAAACCTGAAACAATTTTCCCCCTAAATATATATTTGCCAAACAGTTGGCTTACCATTGAATTTTGTACATTTCTTTGTACCTAATCTCATAGTTCTACCCTTTCAGAGAGAAACCTTTGTTTTTATTTTTTGATGCATCTCATTTCCAACTGATATGTTGGCCAGTATGAGGATAACATGCTGTTGAAGCCTGTTGTCCAGATGTATATGAAAGATTCCTTACTTGAATCCTTTGCTCTGAAGTTGTTTTTTGATGTCATTGGACATTTTTTGAAGAGCCTTCTCTCCCAAATCATTGAAGCATGACTTGTGTGACATGACGAATGTTATTTCGGCTGTTTCAGTTCCTTCCTGGGAATCTATCTTCTCCCCAAGCTTGATGTCTCCACATTTCACTGGAATGATTGCAACATCATGTAATCTCAAAACTCTTCAATGTATTCAAGTACTATATCGAGGATGTCCAAAAGAGATGCTTACCACATGAATCCGGGAGTGTTGTGAGGATGCCGTGGGAGGCATAACAAGCCCATTGGTACCCAGAGGCAATTTGACAAGCCCCATTCTCATCAGATGTGGCCATGCAAGAAACTTTGAACTCCACTGGGGATATGCTTCTAAAGCAGGAGCTAAAATAAAAAGAATATGTGCAGCAAGTAAGTATATGTGGCCTTAAGGTGCCAGATGACATGTCATTTACAGGATAACTCTACTCGAGTTATCATGATATGTCCAGTTGTGGCATGTGAAGCAAGGAATCAGTGGGATATTAGAATAGAATAGATTGATTTCACATTCACATTCCTACGATGAAAGTGAACTTTTTAAGGACCATTTTCTATGGAGAGAAAAGGTACTTCAATAAAAGTTTGCTTGACAATGTAAGAAATTATTATTTGGATTTAATGGATTGAATGAGATACTTTTTTGCTCTTCAAGATATTCAGAAGAAAGGTTCATTGTTTCCTACATGAACCTGCTATGAATAGGAAAAAGTGGCAGATTCTTTACTTGTGTGCTGCCCTGGTTGAAATTTCAACTGTTACTTACATTTCAGCCGTGAGAAAGTTATGATATTTCAAGCATAGCATATTTCAAGAACAGAACTAGTCATACCTGCAGACATGCATGTGTGTGAGTTCTGTCATTGGATCTCATTTTTCCACTTTCCTCATAGAGCAATGCATAAAAAAAGATATAGTAAACTTTGCTCTTTGAGAGTTTGCTAATATAGAAATCATTTCTATCTTCTTATTGCTCTAAATTGCCTGAATTGGTAGAATGCATGAAGAATGTGAGAATTCTAAATATCCTGCAAAAAATGTATTGAAATATCACAGGAGAGCAAAATGAACTTTTGGCCTCCTGGATTCTATAATAATGCTTCTTTTCATATATCCCAGGATTTGCATCAATAAAGAAATTTAAATTCCAATCCAGCAATTGTCGTGCTTCAGAATGTAGGATGACTGAATTTTGCCATTTGTGATAAAATCTTTTAGGATTTTCTGTGTCATGGAGTAGTAAAATATCTGTAGACTGATTGTCCTCAACAATTGGGTACATATTGTATAATTCCCTTTCATGGGTTTTGAATAATTATCTTGCTTTGCTATCTCAAGTGATTTTAATTCTTTTTACAGTTATCTTCTGTTTCTTGAGGTATTGTATGATGCATGATGTTTTTCACAAAATGTAGGTCTTCATTGTTAATATTATGGGATTCTGTTCTGTTACTAGGACAAGAAGACGAGACCAGTTGGCAATTACCTGAGTCCAGACGTGTCATCAGAGAACAGGGTGCGACATATTTTCTCCATTCCTCCATTGGTGGGCTTTTCAGCCACTGGACCATCACACTTTCCTGCAGCCCAGCTCCTCTCCCATTCAGCCAAGGATCCCATTGGCTATTTCCATGACAACAGAAATAATGAAATTATAGGAAACTAAAGTCATTTTTCCCTTTAAACTAAGCCTACTGCATTATTTATCTTTTAGCTGCAGCTGTCCAATATCCTGGACTGCAGCAAGCCATGCCAGTAGTGTGTCCACTATTCTGGTCCACTGTTACTAGGAGTATGCTGAAAACTCAGCACTGGGGGTGTGACCACAGTCGAAGGGTTAATTAGACAATGTACTACTCCTGTGTTGGAAACAATGCTGGAAGTAAACCTGACCATATGTAAAAGAAACAGCTTAGGGTTACACACAGCCTCTTATTCTGCTGAATTGAATGTTGGTGGGGAAGGCTGGATTTTAGGAAGCCTGCAAGCTTAATGTGGATGTATAACCATGTTGGATGAGTGACTTGTATTCTTTTTATGCCTTCATTCTTGCTGCAAAACCAGCTCAGCCAGAATATTGTGTTTCAACCTTAATTAAGGAAAAATAATTACTTACTGAGGATCTTTGAATCAAGAAAGTTAAATTAGAATAGCTGGCTATCTAATCTAATCCTGGCTAATATCTATGTACTCCAGTTTCTCAGATTTACAAAAAATTTACCCTGCATTCTCTAAGTTTCCAAAACTTTGCATATGGTCTGTATATATACCAAATCAGATCTTAATGTGAAAGTCATTCCAAAGTCTGAAGGTTGATGTCGTAAAGCCTTCAAGTAGAACTTTAGATTAATAGGATAAGGACAAACTAGTTGCCTATTCTCTTGGTTTTTTGTTTGACAGGAGTTTCTTGGATAGCTGTTTTCACATGTATTCCATTCTATTTATGCTTTCAAATGTATTCCATAGAGCTTTAAAATAATCAATTCAGATTCAAGCTGCCCTGTTCGAGGCTGAAATGTCAGCCTACAAGAAAGCACACACCTTTTAGCTCCTTATCCCTTGTTTCTTGGTCCAGGACTAAGTGACACTATCATTTGCAAGTTTCCACTTACACCAGAATGCCTAAGTTAATTTATCTAATGTATACTCTCACCCTTCCCTAGTTCACTTGCATTCCAACCCTGATTGCTCAGACAGGAGACACTGAAAGTCAGAAATGCCTTTCATCAGATGCTGTACAATCTGTTCAGTTTCCTGTCTTCATTGAGAATATGCTGTGTCATTCTCATTCTGGAGGAGCATCTATGTGTATACATGTGAGGTTGAGGAAACTGGAAGTAATGGTAAGGTAGCTGGGAAGTCAATGGATATAACATTGTTGTAATTCTCATTTCAAAGTCATGTAAAAGTCTGAGACTGTTCAATAATATTGTTTCTTTGACTGATATTTAAAATGTAGGCATCAATTGACTCTATTTCCCCTCATATAAGAAAAATATGCCTCATTGGTGAAGATACAAGCATTCAAGTAAGATAGTTTACCTTTCCTTCTGGTGAGTAAAAGTCGTTGAAATTCTCATGGTCATTGGATCCCAGGAGACCACGCGATCGACCATGGTACCACCCGCCCACAGATACCATGCAGGTATCCTTGATCCGATCACATGTCATACGCAGCCCTTCGTCCTTCATCTTGATCTTTACCAATTCTCCATCTGAACCAGAACTGACTTGTAGGTGATTCGAGTCATATGGGAGGTTCACCCCCTTACCATTCATCTCCACCTGGTGAGTAAAATATTGATGAGTGAAAATGACATGTTCCAGATCCATCTGTATAAAAAAAAAAGCAACCAGATTCTCACTTGATAGTCAGGAGTAAGTGTGACAGATATCTCTCCAACTGTGATGCGAATGCTCTTTTTCCCTTGTGTTAAGTCCAAGATAAGGGTGAAGTTGGAGTCAAGGAAGTCATGAGCCAGAATGTAGCTGCATTCACCTCCTTGGATTTGGAAGCTCTCTCCACCAAATGTCAGCAATTGATTGTTGGGGAGGATGAAGCCCTTGCCTGAGATTCATGACATCATACACTGTGGCATATGCTTAACAAGCATGACTGAAGTTCTGGTACTGGAAGTTAGAGATGCACCAATGCTGGTATCAGTACTGGTATGCTGGCTAATATCTGCAGTATCAGTTAAAATCTGTTCAATTAGAACTTTTTTATTAGAGCTTTACAGATGTCCTTCAACCCTCAAGTGTTATTTGTTCTAAACCTTGGATTCTGAATTTGGTTATGTGAATAGATGTGAGTTCACTTGGATTCATTTTCACTGATTGAAGTATGTACTTAATGGTCAAGAATATGACCCTTCAAAGCTCAAAGTAGACTGACAGAACTGGCAGAAGTGATTAAAAAGTTATGCATGAAAGTATTCAAGGGGTGTCATACTTTGACTGCACAATCAGGATATTCAAGATCTGGCCAATCTTTGCTTTTAGTGCATCTCTACTTGAAATTATGATCAAAAGAGACCCAGACTTTCGAACGGCGGCAGAACTCCTAGCATGGAACTTGGTAAGGAAGGCAGTGGAGAGAAGCCCAACTCTCCACTCCAGAGTCTCGAGATGATGTCGGTCGGAATCGAAGGGAAGTACGTCTGCAGCGGCTTGGTGACGTATTGCAGCATGCCCTGGATCCATTTTACTACTGCTGTCGGTGACCACTTTCCAGTGCTGGATGGTATGAGGCTCTCAAGTGGGTACAACATTGGGATCTTTTGAAAGAAGAAATTCGTTAGTTTCAAAGTGATCTACTTTGCCCTATCCTGCATCTGATGTTTTCCATGAATCCACTCACCTGGAATTGGATCTCGCCTTCCTCTAGGTCGAACACCGTGACATGCTTCATCAGTTGGGAGAAGAAAGTCTGCACCTCTTGCGCTGAAGATTCCAGTTTGGAAGTCAAAGAGTCTGACATGATGACAGCTTCCACCTAAATAACGAATGGATTTGAGTCTCAGGAATTGATGATAATTGAGCTTTGGATCAACAAATGGTAAGCAAGACTCACTTTTTCCTTTATCTGTTCAAAGACTTCGTAAATCCGTCTGATGTAATGACACTTGATGACATATCCCCATCCCTTCTTGACTGCATGTTTAGTGTTTTCAAATGTGGCCTGAAACTGGAAGGACAATTCATTGAATACCAAACAGAAAGCGATTCGAAGCAGAACGATTGACCCGAGCCACCCTTACTTTCCCCAGGCTGGAGTTCTCATAGACCTGTTCCAGCCACTGCCATCCCTCTTCCCACACTAAGTGAACTTTCTGTGCAAATCCTGAAACAGCAGGAAAGTTTTTTGAGTTGGTAGACAGGGGGCTGAGTTCTGAGGATCATTTTTTGCCTCACCTTTGATGGAGTCAATGAAGTCGTTGAACTTGGACGCAGTGTATTCGCCGGAAGTGACTTTGTCGTACCAGACGCTGACGTTTTCGAGCATCTCTTCCAGCTTGGTGAAGGCTTTCAGAACCATTTCCTTGATTCCATTGAAAGTCCACCTCTCTGGAGCCGTGACGTAGTCCAGGGCCTTCTGCATCGCCTCTGAAACGCCGTCTGCTGCCACTTTCATCAACTGGCCAACTGCCTGGATCCTCTCCTTCAGCCTCCTCCCGAGTGGAGGGATATCTGGGAATCTGTCCGGGAATCATCACATGTGACAAAGACCTGAATAGACTTTTGCAACAAGATGATGATGATGATGAACTCACCTGAAGAAAGTGAGGACGAAGTCGATGTATTGGTCGCGGTTGAGCTCTTGGCTGAACGCATCCAAGTCCTTTTCCAAGAACTCGGCCAGGGGACGAACGGCCAAGCCCGTGTCCTTGAGGGAATTCAGTTCGTCCTTCCATTCCTTGAGCACCTTGTTGAAATGCTCCCTAACGGCTTCGCCGTTTTCCTTCATCATATCCAGCCTGTAGTTGAGCCCTTGCTGCATTCGGAAAGACGGGTGCTAAGACGGACCTTGGAGGGACCCACAAATCTGGACTGGACCCTGCACCTACCGCAAAAGGGACGAAGTTCTCCCTCCTCCAAGCCACCCGGTTGTACAAGAGAGTGGACGTCCTGAGACCGAGTTGATAGAGTAGATAGAGCGTGTCTGAGGTTTCATTCAAGCCCCTCACAGAGATCCCAAAGTTGCGTTTATTTTCATAGCCCAGACTCATCTCCAGTTTTCTCCCGGGGTCATCTGTGCGAGCGAACACTCGTATAGGCAGAGGGGCTCTGTTCTCCCGCGTTTTCCTACCTGACCTCGACGTACCGTTGTCGTAGAAGCTCATGTTGAAGTACCCAGGGATCCCGTGATAGGAGAAGACCAGGGCATCCATCTTGATTGGAACTGTGTCCGTCTGACGGAAGGTCATCTTGTACGCCCTTCGCGTCACGTCCCCGCCTCTCGCCTCTCTCTCGGTCTGAACCGCATCCAGCTCCGTCTTGTGTTCTCCAAGCTGAAGCTGCGAATCGAAGAAACCCCATGACCGCCCGACCCCCCGAACACACAGACACTCGATCGACGGACGAGAACCAGACCAAGACGGCCAAGACTGGGGTCTTTCGCCCCCTCCGCAGGTGATACTTGAGAACCAGGGGCTGCCGTTCCTTCCCCGCCTTGATGGTCAGGCTCGACCCCACCTCCTCCCTCGTGTTCATCCCCTCATAGATGGACGCAAAATCCACCTCCCCCTAGAACCACATCAACCCGTGAACCCATGTGACCCACCACCCACCCTCCTCCCCGACGAAACCCACCCTCTGCCTGATGCGGAACTGCGCCGTGATCTTCGTCTCCTCGTCCCCGTCCCCAGCAACGGGTTCGCGCTGGGAAGCGAGGGTGATTTCCAGGGGTTCCACCCCTCCTTCGAAGATGTCCCATCTCGTCTCCACCAGGAATGGAGTTTCTTCGAGTCCGTACATCACGCTGGCTTCCCCTAACATTTCCTAATCCAGGCAACGGTCAGATGTAATTATATATAAAGGGAAGGTGTATCATTTAAATTATTTTTGTTAATTAATTAATTAATTAATTTAAAAAATACCTTTGGTAGGATAGGATGAGAGAGGGTAGTTCGAAGATTCCACCCCTTCCCTTGGTTCAGTGGCTTCTCCTTCAAGGACCAGACCAGATGAAGTACATCCTTGGGCTTGTTTTTCTTATCCATCCAGAGATGGGCATCCAGATCGTAAGATTTCATCTTGGAGCCCAGCATCACCACCGTCGCTATTTCTCGGCTCGGCACCACCAGCGAGAACTCTGACGCACGAAAAGCAATTTCTCGTGCATAAAACTTGAGAAAATTCTGGACCTCACGGTGCAACTGGCGATATCGGTCAACGCGGCTCCTCACCGTAACTGGAGGAGTTCTTGGCGGTGGAGACGCCGTATTCCTTCTTGATCGTCCCGGCCGTGATGGAATAGAAGATGCGGACATACTCGTCGGGGCGAGATTGTCTCAAAACGGTGTGGAATTCGTGGTCCGCCTCGACCCGGCCCGACTTGGTCATCTTCACTCTGAACTTCGCTTCCTTCTCCGTTCCGTCTGGTGGAATCGGATCTCGTTTTGAATTCGATTCCGTTCGATTTGAATTAAATGAACTCACCTCGGATGGACTGGTTCTTGAGCCGGAGCAGGACTTCGTAGACGGACGCCTGGCCGTTGTCGACAGTCAGCTGGATCTGCACGGCGGATCCCGTCTTTTCCCCTGGTTCTTTCATCAGGTTGATGTAGATGGGCTTCTCGCTGCCCGGGACCTCGAGGGTTGCCTTCAGGAACGAGACCTGCCCGTGGAGAAGGTGAGTCGAATACCTGTTGACCCGAAGACCGCGAACACGTATTTACAAAAAAAATACCTGTTCGTGGTCTTTGGTCCACTTGAAAGTCGTGGTCCCCTTGGTGTCCATGTAGACGAAGTTCCCCTCCCCCGTCGCTTCTCCGTCCCGGACTCGGTACTCCAACCTGGCATTTAATTAATTTAATTAATCGCGCCCATTCGACCCGGGCCGACACGAAACCGACGTCAAACCGACTTGGAATCGAGGAGTTTGGGTCGATCCTGGGATTCCGCCTTGAGCGTGAGCGTATTCTTGCGGCCGTCGTTTCCGTAACGGAACTTCATCAGCCAGTTCTTGATGTTCAGAGCAGGGCTGTCCAAGTCCAGGGTTGCCGACAATTCCTAAAGAATCGGGAATCGCTCATGAAATGCTCAATTCAGTCTTTTTTCGCAGTACCGATTCGCTCACCAGTGGTATGTTCGTGGTAACGGTGCCATCCACGTTCAAGTACTTGTTTGGTCCCCACCGAAGCAGTGACTCCACGTGGTACTTCTCCGTTCCTCTCGTCTCGAGCTAAATTAAAAGAGAAAAAGTCGCATCTCTCTCCGAGGACGAGGTGCGAACATCGCCGCCAATCCCCACCTTCATGCGAAGAACGACCGGTTCCGCGAACGGCGTCTCCAAGTTGAAGTTGACCTCCTTCACGTCCGGATCCAGCTTCAGCGAAGCCCCGAGATTGATGAGCTTCCCGGTGCCCCACTGACCACTTGCCGTAATTTCGTACGTCTGGCCCCTCATCTGCAAGCGCACATCCAACTCTTGCAACTGCCCTTTCTTTTCGCAACTGCCTCGGCAACCCCCCGCGCCCACTCACCTCGAGGTTGAGCTTGCCCTCCAGCTTCGGATAGCCGTAGGCGGGGAATCGGGCGTCCACGTTGAAGAAGACGTGGGAGCCTGTGCCCCGGGACGCGTCCAGTTCCACGACCAGCGTCTGCTTCAGGAACAGGACGTCCAGTCGGGCCTTCAACAACCTCGGCATGTAGTTCTGCTGCCCGTCGAAGCCGACCTTCAACACGGAATTCCCATTCTGTACGATGTGGAGCTTGCTCGTCACTTGAGCCGCGTCGACGAAGAGTTCCGTGTTGATGTCGTAGACCTCCGTCAGACCCCATTCCAGCCTCAACTCGTGCTTCACCTGCATCATCAAACGCGTTATTCAGACATTAAAGAAACTGAAATGAATTAAATATATTAAAATTTTAAATTAATAAAATTGACAATTAAAATATCGGTGTGCAACACAGATGCCAAAAAGAGACGCCCACCTTCAAGTCCCTCGATCCATGAACGTAATAGTTGAGCTTGGAAGTGAGATCCAGATGCTCGAACATGGTCCGCGGGATGCGAAGGCTGAGGGACGAGTCCACCCGCTTCTCCGACTTGGACTCGAGGTCGTACCTCGTCTTGACGGCGAGCGTGGACTCGCTGTTGCCCCGCTTGTGGACGAACGTGCCGTGCACGTGCTTTTCGCTGTAGTCGCCCTTGAAGCCTAGCTCCAGGGTCTCGCCTATCTTCTTTCCTGCGATCCGTACCTGCGGGGGCAGTTTTCGTGTCATCGTCTCGTATTGCACGTCGTGTCTTCCATGCGGTACCTTATTGTCGAATGTCCAGAGGTTTTCCTTCTTCTTCCGCTTGGAGAGCGAGTGGATCTTGAGGTCCTCGGTCCACGGCGTGTCCAGACTGAGATCCGCTTTCACTTCGAACAGACCCTTCCCGATGTCCTCGTACTCGACCGTCACCTCCGAATTCATTCTATTCGATCGATTAATTTCAGATCCGAGTCCATCCCATCGTCGCCGCAACGAGTGCGAGATCCCACCGACCTGTAGACCTTATCCTTGAGATCCTTAACGCTGAGGGCCGAGGTGGTGTAGAAAGTCTGCTGTCGATCTCTCACGTTGATCGCCATGTCGAGGAACGCATCCTTCCCAGACGGCAGTTGGAATTCGAGCCTCACGCTCGACTCCCCAGACGGAAACTCCTTGGACAGTTTCCCCGACGCCCCTCCCGTGTACCTCTCCCCCATGAACGTGACGGTAGACCTACGAGACGCTTCGACTCAGACCTCCATTCCGCCTCTAGACCACCTCTAGAGGACCCAGGCGTGTCTCACCTGACCGAAGCCTCCCAATCCTTGATCGGCAGCCTCAGGTCTGCATCCACCAGGAGCCTCTTCTTCTCGTCTCCCCCGTCCACGTCCCAGTTGAGATCCGTGCTGAGGGACCTCTCCTCCTCGCCCTTGTGCTTCCAGTCCCAGGTCCCCTTCATCCGTCGCGTCCATTGCGGCAGGTTCAGCGACCAGTCCCCGTTCGCATTTCTGATCGGTCGACCTCGTTTCTCACAACGAAGCAACGGCAGCGGACAGTCTCTATACGTAATTTCTTACCCGATTTCCCTCACGATGACCTTCGCATCCGCGTCGATGTACTCGTCGATGAACACCTTGATCTTCCGGTCCTCGACTTCCTTCTGGATCTTGAGCTTGTGGAGAAGGTGGACCTTGTTACGACCGTATGCGTCCAGCTTTGCCTTCAACACCTGCTCCGACTCCGTCATCTTCCCCAACAGTTCCAGGCTGGAAAGCGGACATTTCTCAAGCCCAGAAATCCCCGTGCACGTTTTCTGCGACCGTTTCGTACCTGATGGGGTGAAGCCAGGAGCCCGACACGAGTTCGGCCGTGAAAAGGACCTTGTATTCCTTGGCGGTCTCCCGCAAGAGTCGAGTTTTCAGCGTGAATTCCGGACCTGGTTCGAATTGCAATAGCGATGTCCCTCGGTAGTCTCCCTTGTGTTTCTCCTCCAATGTTTCGCGGAACGTGATCATTTGATTGGCATATTTAAGCTGGGAAAGGGAGAAAGCATTGTCTTCGTCGAACGCTTTTTGCAGGTTTCATCCGCGATGCAAATCGTGGGTATTAAGATGCGTCTATACCATGGCGTGCAGTTGGACGTTGAGTTTTTCTTGGGTCTCATTCCTGAAGACGAGGGAAGTCTGGATGTTCTTTCCTGGCCCGTAGTCCACGTTCAGGAAATGCTCCAAGAGCCGAGAGTCATAGTAGAGAGTGTGATTCACTCCCCATTCGTTGACTCCTGGGCTGTAAGACACTGAGGAAAAAAAAAAAAACTTCATCGAACGATCCAGCCGTAAACGAAGACGAACACATTCGCGTCCCCCTACTCAAAAAGGTGTTATTCAGCCTGAAGTCGGCGCCAGTCGAGCCCTTGTAAGCAGTCCGCTGCGAGAGGTTAAACCTCCGATTCTTCCCATAGAGTACCTCCAACTCGTTCTCCACCTTCAAGAAACCATAAACTGAACCCACAGCCTCAACGGCTCGAATCGGTCTCGACGCAACTCACAAGGCCTGTCCTCCGAGCGAACTCCCACCGCACCGTCGCGTCCAACTGCGGCCGAGCGGAGGCATGGAACTCCGCGTCCGTCCTCCAGTGCACATCCTCCCCCGCCCTCGACAGGTCCTCGTGCTTCCCCGAGAACCTCATCCTCTCGGGCTCCCCGCCCTTCCAGGCGTATTCCACGTCTCCCTCGAGGGCCCTCACCGTCCCCTCCAGCTTCAATGCGCCTTCCACCTTCAGCTTCGAATCTCCGATCACCGCGTTCAATTTCTTCACTTCCACCTTCTTGTTCTTCTCTGCGATGTCGTACTTGATCTCTCCTAAAGGAAAATATTTATAATTATGATAATCATGGTAATTATGATAATTATTTATTTTCACCTATTAATTAACCGAGGGCTAACGCACCGTTGAGGGAATATCGATCTGAATCCGGGTTCTTGAAATCGAAGTCGATCCTTTGATCCGGCACGTGAGTGACGTGTCCCTCGATGACCGTCGTGCCAGGAGTGGACGGGGTGCTATACTGCAGCAACGGAGTGTAGGTGGTCTGTTGGGTGTCCTTGGCGATCCCCAGTTGGACGTTGAAACGGTATTTCTTCTCGTCCACCGACGCTCGGACTTCCAGCTGCTTCAGACTCTGGCTGTTTATGTACGTCACTGGAAAAGGCAGACTCGGATTTTTTTTTCTCGATTGATTTGCGAGTGATTTGGAATTTGAATTTTATTCGTACCGTCTCCGCCGAAAGTTTTCCACGGCGACACGACCTTGACCTGGTAGTTCCTCTCCGGCGTGGTCTTGGACTTGAGGGTCACGGCGACCTTCC